ATTCTGCTCTGACAGGCCTGCAAGGCACCCGGTGCTTTGTTTACCTCGATGACATAGTCTGTTATGCCCACGACTTATCAACACATATACTTAATCTGCGATCAATTTTTGAAAGAGTCCGCGATTTTAACCTGAAATTACAACCTGACAAATGCAAATTCCTCAGACGAGAAGTTTGTTATCTTGGTCATGTAATTACCGAACAAGGCGTTAAGCCTAACCCCGACAAAATTAAAGCGGTCACTGAATTCCCAACTCCTAAATCACCCAAGGACATAAAATCATTCCTTGGACTAGTTTCATACTATCGTCGTTTCATACCAGATTTTTCTAAAATAGCTAAAGCCCTAACGAACCTTTTAAAGAAAGAAGTCCCCTTTAAATGGGAAAATCAGCAACAACTCGCCTTCGATACCTTAAAACACAAACTTACGACAGCTCCCTTGTTAATATATCCCGATTTTTCAAAGCCATTCGTCCTCACCTGCGACGCCTCTAATTACGCAGTGGGTGCTGTACTCTCCCAAGGTCCAATCGGTAAAGATCAACCGATTGCTTATTCTTCACGCACACTTAACAAAAGCGAATCTAATTACAGCACAACTGAAAAGGAGTTATTGGCTATACTTCACGGTTGCAAGACCTTTCGCCCTTACCTTTACGGTAATAAATTCCAAATCGTAACGGACCATAGACCATTGAAATGGCTTTTTAACCATAAAGATCCCGGAAGCAAACTCCAACGGTGGAGGTTGAAGCTAGAAGAGTACGAATACGAAATCGTATATCGTAAAGGCCTGTTAAACTCTGCAGCTGATGCTCTCTCTCGATATCCGGTAAATCCAGTTTTTCCTGAAAACAGAAATCATTTAAATCCACAATCTCCTGAAGAGTGGAACTCTAGTGCAAATCCAGAGTTCCGCTTGGAATCCCCTTTACCAGAGATTGCAAGAGAAACTCTTGACGAATTACTAGGAGTATCTAATGAAAGTAACAATGACACTCATTTTAGCCCGCTGGATCCTTATATCCCCACTGATTCTCCATCTCCGGCAAATGCCTTCCCTGCATCACCTGAAATGCATCCAGAACCCTTACCTGTATCCGAAGACCGAAATTCTGCATCTCCTGCTATCCTTGTTGATCCTCAACCTTCTTCTAGCTGTCCGAACTCTGAAACCTTACCTTCGCATGACGAAACCTACCGTAGTTTTCTAAAATCATCCACAGAACCTTATAACACTCAAATTATTGAACACAATCAAAACCTACTAAAAGGAACTCAACAATTGGTAGTATTACCTGTTCCGATAGATATGGATGAATCCATACCGTATGTGCAGGATGTGTTAAACAATTGCCCTAAAACCGAACGTGACAATTTTCTAAACCTGGAAAGGACTCTACATACCTGTTCTCCTTTGACAATAGGAAATAAAACTTACCTCTTTCTTTTAACGAAGGTGCATCACTTCGATGAACACTCATATCCAGACATATTTAAAAGTTTAAAATACGTCCGAGATGAAATTATGATGACATATCCCACTATTAACGATATAAGCATATCTGATTTCAGAAACCCATTTGATAAACACTCTTTTGTTAAAATTTTTAACATGTTAGCCTACCTCTTCGATGGCACTAATATCAGGATTCACATATACCATGATAAGATCATATATCCTTCACTTAGCGAAATTCCGAAAATATTAAAAGAGAATCACGATATTCCCATAGCTGGTCATTTAGGTTCTACAAGAATGTTGAGCCGTATAAAAGAGAAATATCTCTGGAAAAATATGCGAACCGATATCGAAAATTATGTTAAAGTCTGCAAAGCCTGCCAAACCAATAAAGCTTTGCGGAAGATAAATAGAGCTCCCATGGTCATTACATCTACTTCCACTTCTCCGTTTGAACGCCTAGCCCTCGATATCGTGGGACCTCTTCCCGAATCTGGAACGGCAAAACTTAAATACATACTTACGTTACAAGATGATTTGACAAAATTCTCACTAGCCTATCCTCTACACAGTATCACAGCCGCCGAGGCAAGCGATTGTCTCGAAGACGATTGGCCTAGATACGTGTATACATCAATGTTAGCATACAACACTGCCGTACACTCAACAACCCATTATACTCCATTCGAGTTACTATTTGGGCATAAACCTCACATCCCAGACTCCGTATACGATGATAAATCTACTGCTACTTACCCTGAGTATGTAAAACTCCTTCAGCACCGGTTAAAACACGCTCGTGATAGAGCCTTAGATTTTATTCACAAATCCAAAGAAAATTCAAAACGGTACTATGATTCACGTAGTCGTCCTCAAGAATATAAAGTAGGAGACTATGTCCTATTGAAAAACCACCTAAGGTTGCGAAAAGCCTTATCGCCCTTGTGGAAAGGCCCGTATAAAATAGTGAAGGTTCATGGGAATCATACACTATCTTTACTCATAAATAGACGACACGTGAAACATCATTACGACGAAGTCAAACCTGTAGGCATGAGTGAATAATAGTAGTTGGTAGTAATAATATATAGTAGTAATAGAATATATAGGTATGTAGTAGTAAGCAGTAATAGTACATAATAGTATATAGTCTCTCTCGTTACAGCGCACTGGTTTGGTGTCACCAAGAGTATGTACAACCAATCAACTCAAGCCCTGGTATACACTTTGACCCAGTCGGTGAACTCAAAATTAATACAGGACACCTAGACGTAGTAAACCCTGTCGATATATCGTATATTGAACCACACATAAATAATATTAATTCGATATTAGGCAAAATAAGTTCTTTATGTAGTCGATTCGATATGAAAACTATGATTAGATTGGAATGTCATAACATATTAGAGCCACTTACTGTCAAATTTAATGATATAGTTTCCGAATATTCCTCCATTGCTCATCTCACTAGTAATAGATTTAAACGTGGGGCCTGGATAAGTGGCATAGGCACCCTATCAAAAACTATATTTGGAACTCTAGATGAAAATGACGGAGTCAAATATGATACCGCTATACAGAGTATTCAAAATAACGAAAAACAACTGAGTTCTCTTATTAAAGAAAACATCTTGATTACTACGTCTACTTTTACAGAATTAAACAAAACGCTACGCAACATAGTAATTAATGAAGCCAAGCTCAATTCTGGTATCGACAGATTACAATCAAAATTTGAAAACGTCACATTGATATCAAATAACTTAATAATTAAATCAGATATTAATTTATTACTAAACAGTTTGGAAACCGCTGTACTACTCTTATCGTTTAGACTCGAAGACATAACAAACGCTATCATCTTTTGTCGCCAAAATGTAATACATCCGGCTATATTGCCACCCGCGCAGCTGTACCGAGATTTAGCTGATAACTATAGACATTTACCTGTAGAATTAAGATTACCTATAAGCCTAGAATTAAGTCATATTAACTTGTTAATTAATATTTCTACTGTAAAATGTTACAGTTCCAACAACAAGATTGTTTTCATCTTAAGGATACCCTTAGTGTCACATAAGGTATATAGTATATACCATAGTATTGCATTACCTATCCCACATCATAATGTTGAACCGAATTCATTTAGTTTTATAACCCCTAGTAGTAAGTACATTGCAATGACCAAGGATAAAACAGAATACTGTAACTTAGAATCACTGAACGAGTGCAGAGCGATTAATACCCGTGCGTTCATTTGTGACGTCATCACGGTACACTCGACTAGCGCAAACCCAAGTTGTGAAAGTGAGTTATTAACAAACGTGATAAAAACCTTACCTGTGCAGTGCAAAACGAAATTCATTCATGGATATTTAGATGTATGGAAACCACTTCATAATAATAATTGGATTTATGTACAATCAGAAAATAATAAGTTAAACATAGAATGCCCTAATCAAAAAACTGTAGAAATTAACATCATTGGGACAGGAATCGTAAACATTCCATTTGATTGTTTCGCATATTGCAAGGGCACTAAGTTAGTACCTAAACTCAATGACATAGAGTTGAATGTCACGGTCACCCAATCCGACTTCAACATTGTAAACGACTCTTGTTGTTATTTAGATAAGTTCAAAGATGTGATGAATGATGAGCCTCATATCAAATTACAGAACATTGATTTGGATATTTTTACTCAGGAAGTCAAAACTAAATTAAACTCATTATCAGAAAAAAGTAATGACATTATCAACCAACCCCAAATAATTAAATATGGGACTCATTATTCTATAATCTTAGTGTTAGTAACTTGTATTATTTGTGTTTTTGCTATTATTAAGTGCGTTCTTTGTATTAAATCACACAACCGTCTTCCTTTCCCATTCTCAAGGTCCTCCCAATCGGCTCCTGTAAACTTACCTGTCGAATTAACACCTGAACCTCAACCTGTAATTCCCACTAAAACTAGTAAATCTTGCCAGACTCCCATGAGTACTCCAAGTCCTAGTATCAGGGTAAACCTGTGACCTTAATATCTTTCTCTTCCTTTTCCCAAACTTCGAAGAATCAATCCCGAAGTTTAGTCTACCCCCGGGAGGTGTTATAGGCTCCCATCCTTCGCCTATTTGCTGACTAAGTCCTGACTCAGTCCTGACTCAGTCCTGACTCCACTCCCCTCTCCTTCCAAGCTATCTCCTGACACACAACCTCCCTTCAGTCTACATCCATATCCCAATCCAGACGGTTGTCTTATAAAATTTCAATTTTCGTTTTATTTTCTAGTTAAATATAAATTGTATTTTTTAAAAAGACTTTTTACAAAGTCCATATAACAGAACGAAACGAAACAAATTCTTCTTGGATGACGAATCAACATCTAAAGAGACAAAAACCTGTATGATTCACGCACATTACTTATCCTTAATTGTGTTTTACCTAAAACATATATTTTCAACGACCAAACCACCATTAAGTTTAGATTTATGATAGAAGTTTTTATTTTCAGTTTTTGGGTAAAAAGTTTCCCCTATGGCGTCTGGACAAAGAGAGGAAAATGTAAAAGTCTGAGTGAAAATGTTAATTATCATTTTGATTTGAAAAAACGTTTTTACATTCAAGCAGAAACAATACTTCGTGTATCTTATTTAAGTACATCAAATCCACCCAAGTTATTAAGTTAGTAAATACATATTGTCAACACAGTTTTGTTGACAAGAAAAAGACCTTCAGACTAACATATTAAGTTGTTCAAAATCACTTAAAGATTTATATTACGATCTTTATTAATAAATATCAATGTTCAATTACAGTTAACTAACACAAATAATTTAGAAAATATCCATAAACTCTTCTTTCTTTCAGGTTTTCAAAAGGATCTTCGTGTTTATTGAGATTTAGAAATTTTGTTAATAAGGCTTTCGTTTCATTTATTTGATCAGTCTTTCAATAGCATCTTATTTGACATAATCTGAAGCGTAAACCCTTTGATTGTGAATGAAATATTTAATAACGAATTTAGTTTAATTTATTTTCTATTCAATCCTTTATTTTATTCATTACTATTTTATAATTTGACATGCTATCAAAACTATTTTGATTAGGTTTATTAATAGATTTTAATTTCAACCTTTCTTTGTTTCAGATATATTCAAAAACTGATAAGAATATGACATAGTGTTCAACTTAGTGTTAGTAAAAATGTTTAACGTAATGACTCTTTGGCATAAGCGTGCGTCCGCTGCGGCGGTCAGCGCGTTACTGACGATGTTAGTGTGTGCTACGCTTGAAGTAAACTCGGTAGAGGGGAGGCAAGAACCACACAAGTTCACCATAGAAGAATTGTTATCATCACATTTTGAACACAAAGACTCTGGGGATCTTGGGATGGATCCTTGTAAAGCTGGTAAGTAAAATGTAACATTTTTTTTGTATACATTATCAGTGAATAACAGATATCGAAAACAAATAAAATTTAGAAATAAAACCATCGACTAAATAAATACGTGAAGATAGAAGTTTCTACGTTTCACAGATAAGAAATATATTTGCAATAAAAATCACTAGGTGTTGAACTTTTTATGTCTGTTCTCGTAAAATAACAGTTTGAGACCCCACTTTCTTTCTTCTTCGCTCATATAAAACCGTGATATTGGGACGCGACACATATCAAATGTAGACAAATTCCTTGCTGACGTTTTATGACGGAAAAAAAGGTGACGAAAGTTTCGCTCGCATAGGGAAGCCTTTTGTGTTCCGAGACACAAATTTGAATGTTGCATCTGGATTTCTGTTTATGGTAACAGAAAATAAATATTATATATTAGAATCCGTGACAATACAAGGACACGCGTCAACAAAAGTATTGTATTAAACAATATGGAACTACTGGATAAGTAAAAAAAATCTTACAGGAAAACTTGTAATAGATATTGAAGGAATACAACATATTAATAATTGATTGCTCTAAAATCTAAACCTTCTCTATTGTAATTGTTTATAGTTATAATAACAGCTTATGACCTACATAATAAGATATACTACGGTATTACTATAGGGTGTATCTGTATACTACGGTATTACTAAAGGGCGTATCTGTCCTAAAAATATCGAGATCAGCCTGCTATGTTATAAGGCGATAAGAAAACTTTGTTACAATTTCCAAAACATTTGCCTTCATCTTTATGTGAGGTGGGCAATCCGTTTAACAGTTTAACTCTGCACCCTTAACAATATTGCCACCGTGTCGGGCAATTGGAACAAACAATCCGTGAAAGCGGCTACCGGCCAGGCTGCCAGATAGGCCGGGCTTACGTCATGGACAGATTATAATTCTCAATGATTACATCCGCACGGAATTTGACACAATTCCCAGGGTGGTATGGTGTAAGGGTTGCGCTACAGCGGGTTTAAATTTATATTTAATTTTGTTGCAAAATGCACAACGTTTGAAGAGCCACTATGTAGAACATAACTTTATATATTGAAAGTAATTAGTATGAACATTGTGTCACTTAAGTCAATCGGATGCATACACATATATAAAGGTGTTGAAACAGGGCTATAACTAATTATGTAACATTTTCATTTTTCTTGATTTACCTAAACAAATAATTATCATCAATAGATTTGGTTTGATATCATATTAATGGTATCTATATTTTATACAATAATAAATAATATAGTCTGAGACTAATGCATTGTCTCATGGTCTAGTCAGACCTTAACAGGTTATATTTGGCATCACAGGCAAGCAAGGAAGGCAGCTGCATAGCGACTTATTTATTTACATAAGAATATAATATTCGCTATTTCTCATTCTTTGGGTTACTTTCTGAAACGACCAGAGAGGGTTTGTTTTTATCGCTCGCCGTTGATTTCTGTTTTAGTACTTTTTAATGGTACCTCTCTGGCGAGATTTAAATACCCTACATTGTCCGTCCGTAGTCACGGGAATAGTTCCAGCAGCCTTTTTAAAAAACGAAAAAGTTTAAATTCAAACTCTTTTGTATTTAAATACGTGCTTTTCGTAGCGAGTTGTGAAATTTTGTTTAAATGAAATTGGGTTTGGTGAGTTTTTAAATAATATTTAGGTAGGATACATTTCGTTGTAAGTAAAATACTGCTACATCCATGTTCTCTCTATGTTTGGTTTTTTTAATGTGAAACATAAGGGGAACAAAATTACATAATATGGGAGTTTAGAAAAAAATGTGCTACTTTATATTTAAGATTATCTTTCTGCCGATTCCATCGCTACAAGTTTATGTAAATATTATGTTAACATTAAATCGTCTCTTAGCTTTTTACATTAACGCTTGAACCAGATGCTAAAATAAACAATTTTAAAACGGAACCACTCCATCTGGCGAGCAAATAAATAGGGATGGCCGCTGTCGCTTTAAAATAAAATAAACAATTAACGCGTCACAACCCGATGGATGATGAAAAAACCGTCAAAGTTTATCGGCACGAAACGGTCGCACGGCACTAAATTGGAATCTGGCACTCTATAAACCTTTAATGTCAATAAAGCGGTCCCTCATCAAGTGAACCGTAAAATCGGTGGAATGCCGGTTTTTACACCCCTCACCGTGATCAACGATGAAATTGTTCTTTTTTTACCTTTGCGAGTTTTGATTGTTGTCGCATGCAGCGGTGCTGAAGGTTACGTGAAAACTATTCAATATTTTTTTTCAAAAAAGAGATGTATGCAACCGCCTTTTGATTTTTTATCCTTAATATGTTCAAATATTCAGTAAGTTTGAATCTCAATGTTGAACTTTATCAGCTATTTTACATAAAATTTGTGAAGCGTGTAATCTAACTCAAAGATTGTCTTTTAGTAGATCGTGCTACGCGACGCTTGAACGGCTACGCGATTAAAACTCGTAGCACGTCGTAGCTCTGCGTAGCGAACTTTAATTTTCATTTACTATGAATTTGTACCTATCACTAGTCACTTGATTGTTTCAAATAAATGTTTTATGTTTCTAAACAAAATTTACTTAATTTACTATACTCAAATAATTATTTATTATTTTACTTATTTATCGCATAAAGAATTAAAATTGTCATTATTTGCGAAAAAGGGTCAGTACGTACCTAATATTTTTTTTAATAGTTACTTTCGTGAGACAATCTGAATTCTATGAAAAAACCGATTTAATCCCGTGTATCAGTTCTACAAAGTCATGTGTAGCGGCGCGTACGCGGCTCATAATAAGAGTATTGTTGTGACTTTAAACTATTAAAGCTTTTCTCTAAACACGAAAGTAAACCGTAATATAAAAAGAAATGTTTATTAAATTTAATATAATACTCTCTCAAACATTGTCCACATCACGTTACTCTTCTATTACATTAAAACCTTAAGAATGGTTAAATGGAGTTACAAGGAGATTAAAATTAGAAATCAACCTTTAACAATAATAGCATTCATAAGCACAATATTAAAGTAAAGTTAGCGTATCATTCATAAGTTGTCAACTTATACTTATAATTAACAGTTGACGGAATGAATGAATGGAACTGCAGCTGAATGCAATAAGACCGATTTAATTTGCTCACCGTTCACTTGTGGGCGTTTTACTGAACCATTCACCACAATATTTAATGGTTTTGTTCGCGAACAGACCGCACTACAATTAATTGCACGGGATTTATTACTTAACTTCCCAACTTTTAAGGTTGATTTTCTTTTGCAGAAAAGTTTTAGCAAACAATTACTTTTGCTTTAAAAAAGCAGAAGTTTATATTTTATGTTGAGCGAGAGATTTTTCTTTAAGTGACCGTAATACAATTAAGTTAGCTCAATCGAATTAATTTTGAAAACATCTTGTTTAGTTTATTGAAGTTATTATTATACGAATCTTAACCTGTTCATTTCCAAAATATACGCTTAATAATGGTTATGAGTTATTATCATAATGAAAACATTTTAGTTACATTATGTTTCTTACACCCGGTTTCCGAAAGGCCGATCAATGTTTAAATCAACTTAATCTCTTGTCAAGTCATCTGATTGGTTGACTGAATTATCAACAACTAATCAGATGACTTGACTAGAGATTTAACAGAAGTTTATTATTGTAGATTAGTTAATTTTAGCGTTGTCAAGCCTTTCAGAAACCGGGTGTAAATGTTTTATTTCAACCTTAGTTGTTGCTCACGATAAAAGTCAAAAGAAATAAAACTTTTTAGAAAGCCACACAAACACATTCGTGTACATTGTACAATAGAAGCAACAAGGACATTGTCCCCGCACAGTACATACGGGAACAAATTAATCTTTTTCGTTTACGACTAGGTTTTTATGTGTAAGTACGAGCACATAAAATATTTAGGGGTTAGAATTTGTCCCGGTCGAAAAATGAGTCCGGTTTACGGAATATGTATTTCGGACATTCTGTTCTTTGTGTAAGAATTTCGGTGGAATATGGTGAACATTTTTATACCCTGGTCAAGTTTAGTAAAATCTTACGTGATTAATCTTTACGTGTTGCAAATATTATAAAAAAAACACAAAATATTTTATTGGATTTTTTTATTTAAACTGAATTGGGTTCTAACTACCTAACATTGCATGAATTCTTTATTTCTATATAACTAAATAAAACATGCAATAATAGGGTAAATACTTACACTTCTAACTTATTTCCTTTGTTAAAGTGACTGTAGAATTTATGCAATTCCCCTGTCTTATTTCAAGGCTTTAATCTTTCAATTATGGTAATATTGTGGGGCTTGGGGTTTGATGAATAAATCTCCAAAACGTCGGCAACGCGTATGTATCTCCTCTGGTGTTGCGGGTATCCATGGGCGTAGCCGGTTACTTACCATCAGGTAATCAGACGGCTCGTTTGCTAAAATAACTATGTAATCCTGTGAATGTCACGTTTACGTAGCGTGGCAATGAACCTAACGCGTGTAAACACGCTAATCCGTTTATCAATATAAACATTTCAACAGTATGATTGTAATACTAAAATTTGCACTAAACTGGGTTTATTAAATGGATACTATTTAGATATTTAAAAGAAACTTGGCAAAACATTCATTTCAATGGTAGTTCGTTAGTTCTTGCGTCTTGTTTATTCGCAATTTTTCTTATTAGGTGCTAATATGCGGTTTCACTCGCCATTTTCTATTTATGAGTGAATCAGGAAATACTGACCATTTTGGGCCAATTTTAATCTTGTCTACCATAAAGTAAAACAAGGAAAGAGAAAGAAAACGAATTCGTGTTAAAAGTGATAGTGAAAACTAATGAAAAATACACCGTGGTAACATGGTTCGTGCCATAATGTATATCAACCCTAGTAAGAAAGTAACAGAACAACAATTACTAAAAAGAAACCTAAACTTGTTAGACATAAAATAACAATACACTACAAATAAATAAATATAAAAAGCTAAAGTAAAACTCACAGAAAGACGTTTCATTTCAGCGTTGATACAAAAACTTCTTCTTTGTCAAGCGCAACTTTTATTAAATGCTTATTTTCGTTCTCCGAAGATGTTCTAACAAAACAAGGCCTTTAATTTGCCATTCATCAGAACTCCACTTAATATTCAAAGTGACAACTTACGAAACTTTATTGGCATTAAAGAAACTGGCAACATGTTCTATCTTTTATCTCTAACCTTTTTGTATTAGGGATGGCTATTTTAAGCACTCATCTCAATTCTCTGAGTCTCTTAACTGTTAAAACTAGATTTGGCTAACGTCACATCCAACTTAACTGAATATAGCAAAGGTATTCATTTGTAGTCTTATTTTATTAGATAAGTGAAATCCACTTATTGGCCTTAGATACTTTTAATCTGTACAAATCAGTACACAATCAAAATTTATTGAAAATAACTTTTATTCATGAGCTGTTCGCATCGCGTTTAATCGCTCAGCCGATGTGAGTAAGACGATATATTCAGTTAATTAAACTAAGTGTGCATCTCGATAGTTATCATACAAAAACTAAGAAATTACGAACTTCAATATGTGTTCTTCACATTCACAATTTATTTAGAAACCAAGTTTTCAGCTACAAGAAATACCGCATAATCAGCTTTTAACGAACTTCGAATTCACACACTCACACAAGCAAAGCAACAATTATAAACTCGTCAAAAGTTTAATTAAAATCAGGTCAGTAGTTCTCAAGATTATCGCGTACAAATATGCTAACTTCGTTAAATAGTTTCTAACAAGCTCGTGCCTGTGCTTAACAATATTTATGAGAAAACCCAGTTTCTCTGCGCGCCACATTTTTCGCGGAGACGATAAATTCTTTGCAAGTCTTTTGTTGCAAGTACCCAATATTTTCTTGTCAAGTTATTACTGTTTTCTCGTATTTTTATTTACAAAATCCATTTTAACTAAGCAATGGTCTAATTATTACAATCAGAAATAATTTCAGAAAACAAACAATAAATTTCTTTTACATTTTGAACCCTGATTTTATCTTTTAAAAACGTGACACTATTACATTCAATTGCACAAATATCCGCTTAACATTTACATACACCTAGATATAGAAATCAACTTTTTATCCGTACATTCATCCGTCCAATAGTCATAAGGGCTGAGCGTTTAAAAGTAATAACATCTCTTATCACCGTATAATTTCTGTGCGAAT